TAGAATTTGCATGCCAGCAAGAAATAGCTTTGATAAAATGTGTATTTACTAAAAGCCTTGAAACCTAACCTTGAGAAACTAACAAGTGCCAGCTACGCTCTAAATGGATAGCTGCCAAAAGGCCCCTCCCGTCGAGTGAGCTCCTCATGTTAGCAAAATGGCGCTAAAACCTGGAGGAGATAATCATGACGAGGATAGTGACCTAAGAATGGGGAGGGCATTTTACTAACATCTTAGCACCTAAGCCAATTAACAATGTCTATTTGTCTATATCTTGATTTTCTTCAGTGATGTAATAATGCCTTTAAAAGGGTCTGCGCACCCATTTTCTGTCAGAAGCCATTAAACTTCTCCGAAGTTCTTTCATTAACCTGAACTTTGTGTCTCAGTGTGAATTTACTTCTGCGTGCACGCAACTTTATTATCATTAATTTGGACAGGAACAGATAGTCATTCAAACTAATTGGTTTGCAGTAAATCAACTACAACAGCTGGCGCCATAACGTGGGGTTCTGGGCTATGTCCTGCCTGGGCAGCTGTCCAAGAAGACGCTGGGGGGGCTGAATCCTGGGGGAAGGAAAAGAGCCTGATCACCTCTGAATACACGGTAGAGATTGCTGCAGCACCTAGCCGGTATGTTCCTGCCCCTGTGATTGACCTGTCCCAGTGTCTGTGACTGCTACCGAGAGGACATCAAAGTCAGGTAATAACTTGCCCAGAGTCTTTGTATTGTTAATGATACCTAGTTTACCTGCATGTTGACTATCTGTTGCCTGGGTGTGTTGTTTGTATTGATTTGTGTTTAACTTAGTCTACCCGGGGAGTGTAAGTGCCTGTTTAACTCTTTTAGGAGCCACGTGGCTGTGGCTGTAAGGAAAAAGAGTAGGGGGAATCTGTGGAGAGTGGTAGACTCACTGCTTCCTGGGGGTTCCCCATAGTGTCGCTTTGACCGCTTAGCTAGCCTCATCGGACACTTCTTCTTGGTAAAATTCCAGCCTCGAGCGCTGAGGCAGGTAAGATTCCAATTCTTTAGGCTATACAGGATTCGGGTTGGAAGCTGTTGCTGTTTCCTGTGGCTGCTGGTAGTGAGACTTGCGGGTGGGTCCGCAACAGGGACACTACGAGGTTGAGGGAGGTGGCTTTTGGCCACACGAGTAAAGGCAAGGGATAAAACTGTTGAACTTATTTGAACTGTGATGCATGCACTGTATTTACACTGAAATGTTATTGTCTTAATTGTCTGTCACACAGATTCCTGTGTTTACTTTTATCTTACTCACTGTACTATTTACACTTTCCCCTCCTATTTCTCTTTCTCTGTTGAGAGAAGTGATTGGTCACACACTTCTCGCCACGCTCCAATCCGCGGCTACCACGGGTAGGCGGAATCAGTGACTAGTCTACGTTTTGGGAAGACGTACTTAAAGAGCTTGCTCTTAAAGTAGCAGTCGAGCACGGTAGACGTTCTGTTCCTTTCTCTCTCTATATCTGGGACGCCTTGTATAGGGAATATGGGACAGAAACTGGGAAAACCCGATAAGGGTTGGCTAGCACGAGACTTGGTAGAAGATAGGGAAGGTGAAGAGATGGTTAAGAAGGTTGATAAGATTGCTAAAGTATGTGGAATCACGGTACCCCCGTGTGGTAGATTGCAGCCAGAAAGCTGGCGTAAGATACTGACAGAGAAGAAAGGCAAGTTAATGGACAATGATTTAGTCCGCACAGCGGAAGCCTGGTACAGAGTAGCCAAAGCCATCCAGCAAGAGAGATGGATTGAACAAGAGGTTGATTACAAGGGTGTGAAAATGTTTGTGTATCATAAGAATTTTGTCGCTGGAAATTCTCCCCAGCACGCGCCTAGTTATAGAATGTAAAGCTTCACGTCTCAAGCTGCAATTCTGCCAACCTACTGTTATCTTCCTTGGCCATTGTCTGTCTCAGGGAACCAGACATCTTACCCGTGACCGAGTTAGAGCGGTACTGGACATTCCACCTCCAAGGACCTCGAAGTCACTACACGCCTTCCTAGGCCTCATTTCCTATTGCCGAGCATGGATCCCAGAAGCCTCGCTCCTTATGCAACCTCTTTATGATGCTCTCAAGTCAGACCCATTTTGCTTGTCCACAGAAGCCCTTGACAACTTCTGTTCTCTCAAACGTGCTATTGCTTCTGCTCCTGCTCTTGGCCTACCAGACTATACCAAACCCTTCAAATTGTTTGTTTCTGAAAGACAAGGCCATGCAACAGGAGTACTCACTCAGGCCCATGGTCCTGGAGGCCGCCAAAGGCCTATTGGATTTTTCTCCTGCCAACTGGATGTTGTGGCCAGAGGACGTCCCTCTTGCCTTCGGGCCGTCTTTGCTGCCAGAGAGCTCATTGAAAGAACTGGAGATCTTGTCCTTGGCCACCCCCTGGTTGTCTTGGCCCCTCATGACATTTCTGCCATAGTCAACCAGGTCCAACTTAAGCATGTTACTCCTGCTAGGCATCTTCGCCTTCAATGTCATCTTTTGTTGCCTGACAACATTACCCTCCAAAGATGTCAAGTTCTCAATCCGTCCACTCTTCTGCCACTCCCTGAGGGGGGTGTATACTACGGATTCATCATGGACGAAACTTATGTTTTTCTTCTCACTGGCACCATCAAGAAGGAAATGCATCCCAACCTATCCTTTCATGATGGACAAGCACTCCTTCATGACGGAGCAAGACATGCCTTCTGTACCATGTGGTACAAACCAAACATCACTCCTGAACCCTGCTATGAAGATGAACTCTATAATCTGGTCGAAGTAAAACTCACTGCACAAGACTTCTACTGTGATTCTGAAGGCAACAGTATGGTCTTGATTCATCTACCTCCGGAACTCAAGCATTTGTACCGTCATTGGGACACTGCCATTCCACATGTCCCTGTGACCAAGTTGAAAACAATATCATGGAATGATCTTGGGCCTATGGCAAAAGCATGGGCCACTATGGACGAATCACAGCTACAGGAAAATGGTGTTGTCAAATATCCAACAACTGACCACCTAGAAGCATGGCCACGTCATTTCCTGGAGAATGAGTTCCAAGATTTAACCATAGTGAATGACTACGACCCAGATACACCTCATGACTGTTTTGAACAGATGAAAATGGAAACAACACATCTACCAACTGTGCATGAAGACCCATTGGTAGATCCCGATCTCACCCTGTTTGTGGACGGCTCAAGATATGCTGATGAAGAAGGAAGATACCATACAGGATATGCCGTAACCACAACAGATGAAATTGTCAAATCATCATCTTTACCATCAACTATGTCTGCACAAGAAGCTGAATTGCAAGCCCTGACTTCAGCATGCAAGATCTCTGAAGGAAAGCGCGCCAATATCTACACGGATTCAAGATATGCACTGGGCGTGGCTCACGACTTCGGATTAATTTGGAAAACAAGAGGATTTCTTACCACCGCCGGTACACCAATCAAGCACGGTTCCGCAATCAAGGAGCTGATGGACGCCCTCCTACTCCCAGAAGAAGTGGCTATTTTGAAGATAAAAGCACATGGGAAGTTGGACTCAGATGAAGCAAAGGGCAACCATCTAGCTGATCAGGCTGCAAAACAAGCTGCAAGAGAACCACAGGAAGTGGAAAGAAGAGTGTCCGGAAATGAAGAGACTCCCATATTTACTCTGCAGACTCTTCCAACTGACCTGAAAATCCTGCGGGAACAACAGGCTACAGTTGCCCCTGAAGAAATACAGAAGTGGAAACAGAAAGGGGCAGTTCTAAGAGATGGAGTGTATTACAACAATCTCAGATTCTGCCTTCCTAAGAATCTATACCCAGCAGTTGTTCAGTGGGCACATGGCCCTGCACACTTATCAAAAGATTTGATGATCGCCCTTGTACAGAAGTACTATGAGGCCCCTGGAATTACCACGCTAGCCAGCAATTACTGCAAGACGTGTGTCATCTGCGCCAAGTGCAATCCGGGGAAAATGACTAAAGTCCCTCCAAAACACTTGGCCAAGCCCATGTACCCGTTTCAAAGAATTCAGATAGACCACATCCAGATGCCAAAGAGTGGCAACTTCGAATATGCACTAGTAATAGTGGACATGTTCTCAGGCTGGCCAGAAGCCTACCCAGTGGTTAACATCACCGCAAAAACAACAGCAAGACGGCTACTTACAGAAATTGTATGTAGGTTTGGATTACCAGAAGTCATTGAAAGTGACCAAGGCCCAGCTTTCACAACATCAGTAACTAAAGAGATTTGGGCCGCCCTAGGAGTGACCCTTGCCTTCCACACACCTTATCACCCACAAAGCAGTGGTAAGGTGGAGCGTATGAATGGCACCCTGAAAACTAGAATGCTAAAAATGTCACAAGAAACAAAAATGCCCTGGCCCGAAAGCTTGCCAATAGCCCTGTTTAGTGTCAGACATACACCCAGAGGGAAGCCCTCATTGTCCCCTTACGAGATTCTATTCGGGTCAGCACCCAGGCTAGGTTGCTATTTTCCCCAGCAATTACAACTTCATACTGATGTTTTAGTAAACTATGTAACTGAACTTGCCAATGCTTTGAACAAAATCCATGCCCAAGTTTTCTCTTCAATTCCAGATCCTGATTCTGACACAGGCAACCACAGTCTGCTCCCCGGTGACTGGGTTCTGGTCAAGAAATTTGTGCGAAAACACACCCTGGAACCAAGATTTGACGGACCGTTCCAAGTTCTCCTGATCTCCCCTACCTCTGTCAAATTGGCCGGAAGGCCTAACTGGATCCACGCTTCCCATTGCAAGAAGACACCTGCCCCAGAGGAAGCTAACTCTATGCAACCATGTGCCTCTGGTACATTATCTCCTTAGTTGGCCTCCTTAAAGCCCAGCAGGTGGCCATCACCAAAGATGCTAGTGGGTACACTTTCTGGTATAATTCATCATGTACCCATGTGGCTACATTCACTTTTGATTACTGTGATATTGTAGAATGCCCATTCCCTAAGTCACAGATTCAAGCCATTTATAAAGATATACCACAAGCAAAAGACCCTTACGTTTGTGTAGTAGATGAACAATGGGGTTATGACTGTAACTACTGGGGGGCTGCGGGATGGAATACTGGGCCTGCCTGGGGTTATAAACCCAAAAGTGCTTTATCTAAGATAGACAATCAGGGTAGATCCCTCCTTCAAAGAATGACTAAGAAAGCCTGGAGGAAGTACCCCTATGAAATTAATGTTAAATATTGAACATCCTGGCCCCGAGGATGCAGACCGATATGTAATGGGAATGTATTGGAAGAAAGGTTCCTACAACAAATTAGGTCATTTCTACCTCAGAGATATGTACCACTCTCCAGAGTGGCAAGGGGCTGATCATATGGTCCCAAATCCGCTAAAACCACATATCCAGTCCTTTAAAGATATGATGGCCATCGCTAACCCCACTTTTGAAGATACCATGGCCGCTGAAACTGGATTCAATGACATTAATTTGTGGTTAGAATGGATGAGGTATAATGCCAACAAACATAATAAAACAGCATGTTATGTATGTGGCGGTGCCCGACCCCACCTTGGCACCGTCCCCCTAACTCTCCCTTTAGAGATAGAAGATTGCTTCTTAAGCCTTTTTGCCTACCAATATGACTTTAATAGGTCCCTCTGCATGGCATGGACGGCAGAATACCCTCTCTTAGTTGAAAATGTTAAGCCACCAGATGGAATCACAGTCTATAGAGGTAATTACACTTGTTATGCCATGTATGACGGGATTGGTAAATTCATGGGTAATTTTTTCTAAAGGTTATTGCGCCACTTACAGAACTGTTCCTATACGCCTGTTGCAACACCATACCAGGTCATTGGGGGATATTTACTGGTTATGTGGGGATCTACAGTTAAGATCTAGGCTGGAAACTGAGTGGTGGGGTGAGTGTACCCTGGCCAAAGTTATCATGCCCATTCATATTATTTCTGATAATCATCATGACACATACGACCCTCCACATACATCAGCCAGAGTAAGGCACGAAACCCCAGTAAAAGGCAGTTTTGACCCCCACATTTACATAGATGCCATTGGGATACCTAGGGGGGTACCTAATGAATTTAAAGCTAGAGATGAAGTAGCTGCAGGTTTTGAATCACTTTTTACCATAGTCACTGCCAACAAAAACCTTAATTGGATTAATTATATCTATTACAACCAACAGCGCTTCGTGAACTACACCAGGGATGCCCTCCAGGGCTTGGCCGAGCAATTATAGGCCACATCCCAAATGACCTTCCAGAACAGACTGGCCTTAGACATGATCTTAGCCGAAAAAGGGGGGGTCTGTAAAATACTACCCGACACTATGACTTGTTGCACTTACATTCCAGAAAACACAGGTCCTAATGGTAAAGTCACTCTGGCCATAGCTAAATTACATAGACTCTCTGAAGAGTTAAAGAGAAACTCTGGAGTTACTGATCCCTGGGAAAAATGGTTTGGTTGGATGACGGGTTGGCAGAGAGCTTTAGTCCAGATTGGTATTGCCTTACTAATTTTTCTTTTTATTCTCGCTCTTCTCATTTGTTGTGTCCTCCCATGCCTAAGGAAATTCCTGCAGAAAACTGTAGACCAAGCAACACCAACCTTCACTCATCTGACAATCGATGATCAAGATCTCACCTCACCCTGTATTCCGCTACAAACTCTCCCTTATACTGATGAAGTGCAGAAAGTCTAGGAAGGGACAGTACAGGGACAGCGTCCGTCTTTATGGGTAGACTGCCGTACGGAGAAGTAGTGGATAAGCCACTATGGGTTACCAGCGGAGTGAAGAGTGTTCCTGAACCGTACTGACGGATGTGCTGCAGCCTGTTAGGGTCAAGAGAGGGATAGACTTGCACTTTGCATTAACACTAAGTCAGCGGTCATGGGGTTTCTGTGTCTTTGGGCTAACACATCTTCTGATACTAACAAATAAAGTTTTGTCTTTTAGCAAATAACATTTTAGGGGGGACTGTTGTAGAATTATTAGGCCTCTATAAATCTGTAAGGCCCCTTTAAATCCTCTTGCTATACCTCTAAGAGGCCCCCATAGTTTTACAAGAAAGCTTTGTCTATAGAACATAGAATTTGCATGCCAGCAAGAAATAGCTTTGATAAAATGTGTATTTACTAAAAGCCTTGAAACCTAACCTTGAGAAACTAACAAGTGCCAGCTACGCTCTAAATGGATAGCTGCCAAAAGGCCCCTCCCGTCGAGTGAGCTCCTCATGTTAGCAAAATGGCGCTAAAACCTGGAGGAGATAATCATGACGAAGATAGTGACCTAAGAATGGGGAGGGCATTTTACTAACATCTTAGCACCTAAGCCAATTAACAATGTCTATTTGTCTATATCTTGATTTTCTTCAGTGATGTAATCATGCCTTTAAAAGGGTCTGCGGACCCATTTTCTGTCAGAAGCCATTAAACTTCTCCGAAGTTCTTTCATTAACCTGAACTTTGTGTCTCAGTGTGAATTTACTTCTGCGTGCACGCAACTTTATTATCATTAATTTGGACAGGAACAGATAGTCATTCAAACTAATTGGTTTGCAGTAAATCAACTACAACAATAGTACATTTCTCATTTGATTCTGGCTGTTTGGACCATTTACCCAGAGCTTTACCATTACTGTTCTGGGGTTCCAGGCCGTCCCCCTTCCAGTAGCATTTGTGTGGGTGTGGTTGTTCTACTTCGGAGGAATCAGAGTCATCTGACTACTCAGCCGAATGGGGTGTTTCCAGTGGAATTTTATCCTTTGCGTCTTGTGGTAGGACCCATGCCAGTGCTTTTTCAACAGATGCGGCCACCGCCGCATTAATGAGGGCCTGTAAGCTCTGTTCTTGGGTAGAACAATCAATCGCACCTAAGAAGCAGAGCAGGTTTCTGTCTTTTATAAAATTACTGGTCAACAAATTATCTGCAAATCATTATATATATATATATATATATATATATATATATATATATATATTAGTATATAACTGGGTATCATCCATTAGTCAATCCTCCGAGCACAGACAAGGCGGGCTAATCAGGGAGCTGTGACAGAGACAGCAATAATAAATGACCAGTTGCAATAAATGTAATAGGTTGGCTGATGAACAACCTCCAGGGCCCACCCCTAATCAAACCACTGTATGCAGTCACAGGGTATGTAAAGTTCTGTATTGAACATTGTATAACTGTCAAATAGCACTCGGGGAGTGTAATACTGGTGTGGTAATTATATCGAGTGGGGCTTACCACTATGATTGTAGATAATAATACATTAAAGAGGGGCTCATCCTCTGTTATATTCCCACAAATGACAGAAATATAAATGAAAGGAGACAACACCTATAGAAATGCAATAAAGCAGTGCAATCAGTATAAATATCACCCTTTAAGTTATAGGAAACAAACATATGCATATTGTGTGAGTTAGGGAAAGCTGCAGTTCAGTGAAGCCTGCTGCAGCCTGATCTGAGCCACACAAAACTGGGGAGAGGTTATAGGAGGCGCGCAGTCGTGTTCCCCTGAAGTATCTAACTCGTGGTTCAAAGCCGCGAGTCGGAAATAGGCTAGGTTAAATCTGTGCGGCATTCGAGGAGAAGATGGCCGCCAGAACACTTGTGCAGGCGCGCAAGACCCCAAAATGGATGCCGGGATGATGGCTGCGAGGTAAAAGCAGGGACTGACGGAGATGTTCTCTGCAGTCCAAAAAGCTTGGAAAAACTCAAGGTAAAAGCCTTCCGAGATCTCGGGCAAACAGAAAAAAGAAACCAAAACTCAAAATTAATAACAAAACACAAGAAAAAGTATACAGTAGAGGATAGAATATTAATAAAGAAATGTAATTTGAAACATAGGCATAGGTAAAGGAGCAATAAAAGGTTCAAGAATAAGACCAATTGTAAGAGTTAAAATAGTAACTATCAGTATAAACTATAACAAATATAAATAAAAAGATATATCACAGTAACCTATATGTAGGAGACAGTGCACCTGTGCTGGTGATGAGCAGCAAAGGAGGAAGCTGCTAGAGAACAGATTCATATAGAATGTTTCTTGTTTCTGATTGGTTATTTCTGTTGCTATGTTATAATGTGCTGTTGTGGAGCGTAAGTAAAGAGAGACTTAAGCAAAATATGAAGCCTCCAGTCATGTGATAAAATTAGAAATAGACTGAACAAGTATGGTTTGTTTGGAAGGTGTAGTGTTGTGCTTGCTTCCAAGCAGGCATGATGTCATTAGCTAGGCGGAGTTTGGAGGTACGGAGCTTGGCCTGGCGGAGTTTGCAGGTAAATCTGAAAAAGGACAGTTGACAGTGATCTGTTGTTTAGTTGAAGACACTTAATAAAAGTACCAGTTACATACAGACATGTCCTGGCTATTTATTATTTTATAAGGAAGACATAACAGAAGGGTTGCCAGGAAAAAGCATTTTCTCAATAGCGAGAACGTTATTGGCATCTGGCTTAACGCAATCTCCGCTAATAATATGACCAAAGTAGTACAGTTCCATTTTCTCAAAATTACTATTATCTTTGGTTAACTTCAGCCCAGATGCTCTTACTGTCTGCAGTACACAATACAGTCGCTGATCATTCTCTTCTTAAGTGGACCCATACACTAGGATGTCATCCATGACTACTACAGTGCCCTCATGGTCACTCAGGAGGGAACTCATCTTCCTTTGAAAGATCTCAGGGGTAGAAGATATCCCAAAGGGGAGTCTGCGGAAACAAAACCAACATACCGGTATAATAAAGGTAGCTTGCGATACCAGGGTGTAGCAGAGCTCTAGTCCTAGCAGGGATTTTTCTCTACTGGATCACCAACAGTAGAATCAGGAACAAGAAAAATGCCAAGGAAATAGCCCACCTCCTCCCCAGCAACGACACACAGTTCTGGGAGTACAACAGATTTTATTCCTGCCACACACGGCTTTTATGCATTGCCCCTAGCATGGGGTTTCTCAGTCAAAATTACAAGGGTTTCTTTCCAAAGAGCCTTTGTGTTTGGGAGATAATTGAGCTCAAGTTAGGATAACTCAACTATCTCTCACACACAGAAAATTGCATATGTACAGCCTCACCTTACGGCATTTGCGCTCACTGGCTGTGCGTCTGTATACCTGACCCCTGCAACATGTTGATGGAAAAATTATAGCCCCACGTCTGCCCACGTTGATGACATGAAGTCACGCGGGAGACGCGCGCGCACGTTCTGGGGTCAAAGGCCGATTTTTGGCCAATCAGAGCTGAAAATAGGCTTATTTAAACTCCTAATGCCTTTTCATCATTGCCCTGTTGTGGTTTCACTAGTGGTTGTTTGAGAGTGTGTTTCTGAGCGTTTACTTCTGGTTATTGACTTTAGCTTCGTATTGACTTCCCTGTATTCTGGTATCCCTGACTTCGGGCTTTTTGTGTCTCCTTCTGTATCCCCAACCTTGGCTAGTATGCGGACTATTCTCTGGTACATTTAGATCAGCCATTCTAAGGCCCAGTAAGACGTTGCCTATTAGTCCTAGCTGCGATACAATTCTATGTGCTCTATCAACTAGTAATCCTGACACATACATATTTTACAATATCCAAAAAATACATAAAACAATACAGGAACCTCATGAACATCCTATTCCTGAATAGCCCCAATCTGAGCACACAACATATCCAAAAAGTGATCATATCGGTTTGGTAGAACAAAAGTTATTATCAAGCAAAGTTTTTGGCTTTCGGGGGTTCCTGTGTGAACACCGACAAATGCTCACCCTGGCTGCTATGAAGCAAATGCTCCTCCTGTTCGGTAGATTATATTTCCTGAACACTGTTCGTCTAGGTGGTCGGGAAGTGGGACAGGCAGCGGTACTATCTTTGCCCGGGTTCGCGGAAACGCAAGGCTGAAAACAGTTCCAACGACCAAGTACCGCTGCCTGCGTTCGGGAGACAAAATGGCTGCCATTCACTGGACCACATGCGTTTGGTATACGAATGGTGGCCACCCAGGGAAAGCACTCAAGCAAAGGTCTTAGCTGTTAATTTGTGGTTAACAGCCAGGGGAGGTCAGTGCATA